AGAGAGAGAGAGAGAGAAGAGGATAGAGAGAGATATATCCAGAAGGTGGAGTGGGTAGGGGGGAGGGAGATATTTGGCATTCTTGCCATGCGAGATGAGCATGTTTTGTGGGAAAAATCAGGAAGAAAGAATTAGCCCGGGTGAGAGCAAAACGTCTTGATGGGATGGGAATGGCTGAGGGCCACGCTTGTGTATGATAGGCCTTTTTTGTTTGGTTTTGGGTCTTGACTTTCTTTTTCTTTTTCTTTTTTTAGTTGGGGGGGGGGTAATTTGTTTTCCTCCAAAGGCGGATGCTGATCTGTTTTGGTTGATAATATTACTTAAAAGTGAAGGCCCCTACCCTTGGCCTACGCAGAGCTTCAGTCTGCAGCGAAAAAACGTGTACATTTAGTGAGAGCTACAGAGAGAGAGAGAGAGAGAGAGAGAGAGAGAGAGAGAGAGAGAGAGAGAGAGAGAGAGATCAGGATCTAGTTCATTATTTCCGATTGCGACCCGATTGTGCAATGCCCGACCAAGGCAGGAGATGACATCCACCTAGATTTTCCCACTTTCTTACGTTCTCAATTAAACGAGTTTATCTTCTTTTATTCGTGGGTACATAATAAATTTAATGATCTCATTTGCGTGAAAGCTTTATGATATTGTAGGGCCAATATTTTAGCCTTTCACGTCTCCAAAACTTGACTAGTTTTGGGGGCGACTTTCTGGCCAATTGGTTGTGCACGGGCAGTAGGCTTAGTTTTTCCCCGGGCACTGATGAGTACAAACAGGATCGACGGGAGACTAAAAACTCAACGTCAACGGGAGAAGAGAGAGAGAGTCAGTCCTAACCGTAACGGAGTCAACACACAGCAGTCGCCGGGCGCCTGGGGATCCACGAGATCTACGCCGTTGGAAGTGAAAGGTAACATAAGATAAATACTACAATATACTGGTGAGCGAAGGAATACTGAAGATTGACTGAAAAACGGCTCAGGTTTTTTTTCCAGCTCTGCGATGTGAGTTTTTCAGTTTCATTTGCTTTGGAAGAGTTTTCCTTTTGGTATGAGATAAATCTAGATTCTAGATCTAGATCTTTTGCTTGGTGTCTTTTAAGATTTGAACCAATTTATTAAGTTTCTGTTGTGTTATTTGGAAAATACTAATACAGACTACCGATTTGCCAAATTAAGTAAAACTAAATCTATTTTAGTAAGGATGAGAGGAATAAAAATTTGTTCAAGTAGATTGTGTCGTGCTGATGAAATATCCTTCCTGTTTTTACACGAGCATAGAGAATAATATAAGATATGGAATAGATCTATCATCTAAGAAAGAAACGAAATTTGAAACCAACACGCTAACACCCGCGAGGAGGGATAAATTTCTTCCAGTTAACGGTAACCGTTGTAATTTTTGAAAATGTTATTATGTACGCAACTGCACGTACACAGATCTATACGCACATTTACATTTAATTTCTAAAATGTAGTCTATAAATCATCCAGTATCCTGGCACGCCGGTGATCTTGTACTTGTTGTCCCGTTCGTTAAAGTAAAGTCCACGAATCATTTGTTTACATCCAGAGAAGAAATCCAGAAGTCTTGATGACCAAATAGATAACACAAAGAACAGGGATGCTACCTTACGTAAAACATCAAATTATGGTAAAATTCAGGTGGGGGGGG